ATGGTTAAAATGGTAAATGTTTTGTTATGCGTATTTTACCACAATTTTTAATGTAAAAAAAAAACTATATACTGTTTAATTTCTCAATGTTGGTGAATTTGGTGAATTTTCTAGGCCTTTTTGTTATTTATTTCTAACTTCATTCCATTGTGGCTAGCAAAGATATTCTGTATAATTTTCACCCTTCTAAATGTATTGAAATTTGTTTTGTGGCCGAATATACAGCTTATTCTGGAAGATACTCCGTGTGCATTGAGAAGAATATGGAGTCTGATATTTTTGGTGCAATGTTCTTTACCTGTTTGACCTGGTTATAGTTTTATTCAAGTCTTCTGTTTTGTTCTTTATATTTGATGGACTGTTATTGAAAGTGAGATTTTGACATTTTCAAAACATTATTATAAAAATGTCTGTTTGTCCCTTCAAATTTTCATCATTACTTTTTACTTCATGATTTTATAGTTGTATTGTAAGGTGCACATGAGCTCATAATTGTGATATCTTCTTAGTAGAGTCACCCTTTTATCCTTTTACAGCATCCTTCCCTGTCTCTCATAAAAATTTTTGTCTTAAAATCTATTTTGTGTAGTGGGTGTGGTAGCACATGCCTGTAATCCCAGCAACTCCGGAGGGCCAGACAGGATAATTGCAAGTTTTAGGCCAGCCTCAGCAATTTAGAGAGACCCTAAGCAACTTAATGAGACCCTGTTTCAAAACTTAAAAAAATTTAAAGGCTGGACATGTGGTTCAGTGGTTAAGTGCCCCTGGGTTCAATCCTAGGTAAACCTCTCCCTCCAAAATTATTTTTTCTGACTTATGCAACCACTCCAACTCTCTTTAGTTACTCTTTGCACAGAATATGCTCTTCGATTCTTTCACTTTCGAGCAATTTATATCTTTGGTTCCAAAGTGAGTTTCTTGCAGATACCATGTACCATGTTTTCTTTAATCCATTCTGCAATCTCTGTCTTGAGAATTTAATCCATTTACATTTACTATAATGATTGATAAGGAGGATTTATTTCTGTCATTTTGCTATTTGTTTCCTATATATCTTTCATCATTTTTGTTTTTCAGTTCCTCCATTGAAGTCTTATTTTGTGTTAGAGATTTTCTAGTGTATCATTTTGATTCCTTTTTTATTTCTTTTTCTGTACTTTTTTAGTTTTTGAAGTGATTGTTGTGGGTATTATAATTATCAACTTATACTAACCTAGTTTAAATCAATATCAATTTTGTTCTACTAGTACACAAAAACTTATATAGATCCACACCCTCTTTATGTTGTTAACATCCAAAAATTACATCTTTATACATTGGGTACCACTAACATAGATTTATAATGACAGTTTTATTCAGCAGTCTTTTAATCATAAAGAAAAAAAAGAGGAATTATAAATCAAAAACATATTAATACTGACTTCTATATTTACTTATATAGTTACTTTTATGGGTCTTCTTTATTCCTTCCTGTGGATTTGAGATATGTTCCAATGTCCTTTTGTTTCAGCTTTAAGAATTCTCTTTAGTATTTCTTCTCAGGCAGGTTTACGATCTACAAAGTCAATTTGTGTTAACCGGGAGTATAATAATTTCTCCTTTGCCTGTGAAGGATAAGTTTACCACATACAGAATCCTTGGTTGGCAGGCTCTGTGGATGTTTTTCCTTCCTTCCTTCTTTCCTTCCTTCTGTTCTTTCTATCTCCACTTTAAATGTCATTACATTGCCTTATGACCTCCATTGTTTCTAGTGAAAAAACAGCTGTTAATGTTATTTAAGTTACTTTGTACATTGCAAGCATCTTCTCTCTTACTGCTTGCATGAATTGATCTTTGTTTTGACCTTTCATTGTTTGGTTATAATGTGTGTCTTTTCAGTCTTTGAGTTTTTCCTATTTGGGGTTTACTGAAATTTGGGGTATGTATATTTCTGTCTTTCATCAAATTTGGGGTATTGCAACCTTTATATTCCTTGCTGACTCTTTTCTCTGTCCTCTACTTCTTGAGCTCCTATTATGGACATATTGAGATATTCAGTGGTGTTCCAGAGGATTCTTAGGATCTGTTTGTTTTTATTTGTTATTTTTTTCTTTGTGATTCCCATATTGGGGAATCTCAATCTTCAATTTTATTATTATTCCTTTTTATGCTCAAATCTGCCATTTATCCCCTATGGCAAATATTTCATTTCAGTTATTGTACTTTTCCACTCCAGAATTTCTCTTTGGTTTATTTCCATATCTTTATAAATTCTTCCACTTTATTTATATTCCCTAATTGTTGATAAGTTATTCTCAAGAATTTCCTTTGGTATTTTTTTACTTGGTTTTATTTAGCTATTTAAATATATTTAAACTAGTTCATTTAAAGTCTTTTCCCAGTAATTACAATATCTGGACTTCCTCAAAGACAGTTTCTATTAATTTGTTCTTTTCCTCCCTGAATATAAACCACACTTTCTTATTTCTTTGCCTGAATTTTTTTTTTTTTTTTTTTTTTTTTTTTGCTAGAAACTGGATATTTTTAAGTATTATAACATGAGAATTCTGGACATCAGATTTTCCCCTCTCCCTAGGGTTTCTACTAATCAGTATGGTTGGTGTTGTTTATTTGTTTACTGATGGTTTCTCTGCACTAATTTTATATAAGCCTGTACTCTTTATCATGTGTAGCCACTGAAGTCTGTATTCTGTTATTGTAGTGTTTATCTAATGATTTAACAGGTCAGCTGAGATATACATAAATGCCTGACACCAACCAACAAAAGAAAGAAATTAAGAAAGAAAAACAAATGAATAAATATCTTTTCAGTCAGGCTGTGTGTGTGTGTGTGTGTTTTCAAAGACACTTTTAACACTTGGCCGGGTAGTTTACCTTAACCAAGTCAACCTTAGTCTACATTCGCTTTTTCTTTCTGCTTGAACAGAGCCTGAGGGTCAGGGCTAGGATTTTTTTCCCTAGGTTTCTAGATTCCCAGGAACAATTGGGAGCTGTTCAAGCTTTTATTACCCAAAGTTTCTCATTGCTGAGCCTTTTCTCCTAAGCTTTTCAGTTTGTTTACTGTTTGCGCCAACTAATGTCCCTTGCCCCTAGTGGCAGTGACAAATGCACTTACCTTTAACAACTTTTGAATGATACCTTTCAGGTAGCTGTCTCATCCTGATTTCAATGTAATAAAGGAAAGTCTTAGGTAGTAATTTTGAGATAGTCATTTACAGAACTACAAGACAAGTCAAAACAAACAGCCACAATTATTTGAGAATAAAGTCCATTTTTCTCCTTCCAATACTAACATACTACACCATAAATATGGGTTATTTAAGACCACTGCCTTGCTGTGTAGCAGGGGGTGCTTCAAGAGTAAGTGAAAATGACATAAAACTCTATTAACGAGACGTGTGGGTTTGTGTCTTAATTAAATATGCACCTGCTGTCTATAAACTCTTTGTAGAGTTCTAAAAAATATTAACCCAGACAGTCCTTGCCTGTTATTCACTAATTTTGTGGGGGAATGGGCTTTTGAAATTCTGTACTCCCCCATTTTTACTGCCATCATTAACAGCATCTTTGGACAAGGAATCTAATTTTATTTTAGTTTAAGTAAAACTTTAGCTTATATATTTGGATTTACAATTCATCTCCAATTAGTTTTTATGTATGGAGTGAGTTAGGAGCTGTGATTCACATATATATCATATATATTCACATATATATCAAGTTATTCCAGGTTCATTTTGTTTTTGTTTTTTGTTTTTGGTAGGGATTGAATCCAGGGGCATTAACCACTTAGCCACATTCCCAGCCCTTTTTATTTTTTATTTTGAGACAGGATCTCACTAAGTTGCTGAGGCTGGCCTTGAACTTGCAATCCTCCTGCCTCAATCTCCCAAGACTCTGAGATTGCAGGTGTGGGCCACTGCACCCGGCCTCAGCTTCATTCTCGTATAAGAGAGAGTTTTCTAGACTCCATCCTATTTGTCTATCCTTCAACCAGTACCAGACTTTTTTAATTATTGTAGCTCAAAGATAAGTCCTAAAATCAGGTGAATTATATGTCCTTCAACTGGATTACTCTTTTTCAAGATTGTCTTGACCATCCTTGTTGCCATATAAATTTTGGAATGAGTTTATTTCTCTACAACTACTGGAAAGACTTTGATTGATATTGGGATTACATTGAGTTTATAGATCAATTAACCAGGTCTTTATTCCCTTGTCATTCCATCCAGGTAGTTCTCCTCCAGGTTACCAGTGACCCTCATGTCTCCACATTCAGCAGTCAATTCTCAGTCTTCATCTCACTTGTCACCTTAAGAGAGCCCCGTGCCACAGTGGCTTCCCACAGCACCGTGTCACTGGTGACCCCTGACCTGCTTTTCTTCCATAACATTTATCACCATCTAACGTTCTCCACATGTTCTCGTCTATCTGTTACAAGTCTCCTTGTTTTGTGCACTAAATCTCCAGGATATATATAGAAGAGGGCCAGGGAAATAAGAAGCCCTTGAAAAGATTTGTTTGAAAGGGAAGGAAGAGAAAAGAAAGGGAAGGAGGGAGGGAGAAAAGGAAGAAAGGAAGGATAGAAGGAGGGAGGAGGGGAAGCAGAGAAGGTTTGCCCCCACCATACCATCATCTTTCTGATTTTCCCATTACTCCTTATGGCTAAAATGTTTGTAAAAACAATTCCAGAGAGAGAGAGAAAAAAAACCTGGGGCTGAAACCCAGAAACCCAGAGCATTTATAAGGAGATGGAAATTTTCTACATGATCACGAAGAAGGGGAAGGAATAGAACAAGAACTGATCAGTGCTACCAGACTCTGTGAGGCAGGGGAATTGCAAAAGTCAGGGAGGTATGGTTCCATCACAGACATACCAGAGAACTTCCCTCCATGAGGGAATCAAGGGGCAGAGCAGGCAACTGGTCAGGAGACAACACAGAGCCCTGTGGCCACAGGTCTTACTGGGCTGTGTGCCTGGAGGGTGCTGTTCAGAGACTCACCTCTGTGATACTGAGCCGTAACTATAGCAGGGACCACAAAGAACACATCTCCAAGCAAGTCCAGGAGACTGTCTCGGATGTCAAGCAGGGAGTTCTTGTCATGGAAGTATTCTTTAGACACAGTGTACAAATATTGGGTAGAGATTTTCTGTAAAAAGTCATGGTTAGAGGAGATCCGGGTCAACAGAAATGGCTGACACATTAAGCATTGCCTGGGCAAGCATCATTCAGAATCATTGCCTCATTGAATCCATGTAGCCCTCCTATGATCCCAGTATCAAAATTAGCTTCATTTCAGAGAAGGAGACAGACACTAAGGCAAAGTGGTTGGTGGAACCATGATTCCTCTAGAAGTCTATTTGCACCCAAATACCATGCTCCTAACCACAATACACATGCCTCTCTTTCATGTTTCAGAAAGAGTGACTCCTGAGCAAAACGAGCTACATCAATTGTGGGGCTTAGTGCAAAATGAAAACATGGGTAACCTTGTTCAAAAATTACTAACAAGTTCTACATAGCAACAGCGGAGCACTATATCTCATGGAGGACCCTTTTGAATGCAAAGCCTTTTATGACTACACCTGCCACACATCCAGGAAACTGGCCCTGCTCCTAGGACCAGCACTGCCTCTAGCCCTTTGCCATTTTACCTGAGCTAGATAGTCTTTTGAATGTATTTGAAGGATTGCCTGAGATGTGAAGACAAAAGCATGCTCTTGGCACAAAGTGGGTCTTCAGATCTGCTGGTTCCCCTGAGACTCATCACTGAGTGCTTAGCACAGCATTTGATGCCTTCTTTGACCCGAAACCAGCCTGCCTCGGACTTCTCCCCCTCAACTTGCCCCAAGCACAAACAGTACAAGGTGGAAAGTAAACTTTCTGAGGATTCAAGGGTCTCTCTCATTGATGATGCATTGGGGGGGTCTGGTGCTCTCTGTGATGCTGGACAATTTGCTGCATGTTACACTGCTACCAATAATTCAGTGGCATGACCCTTGGTAGTTTTCTTTGGAATTTAGAGGAGAGGCCACATATAACACATCAGGCAGTTTTGCTCAGAATCATTTATCAGGTCCTCAGAGAGATGATCGTTTTTAATCTAGCCTAAAATGAGGGTGGGCTCTGCAGCCGATGTAGGCTGCCATGAAAGGAACTGGCCACTTGAACCATACAGCCGGCAGACCTCAAGGTTCTGGAGACATCCACAGCGGGTAGAGAAGCTGGGTGGAGCCTCCGTTGAGTCCCCACAGACGCTCACAGTGTTATGCTTTGGGTATGAGGTGTCCCTCCAAAGCTCACATGTGAGACAATGCAAGAAGGTTCAGAGGAGAAATGATTGGATTATGAGAGTCTTAACCAGATCAATTAATTAATACATGATGGGATTAACTGGGTGGTAACTAGAGGCAGGTGGGGTGTGGCTGGAGGAGGTGCTTAAATTGGGGGCGTGGCTATGGGGTATATACTTTGTAGGTAGAGAGTGGAGTCTTTCTCTGCCTTCTGATGTGAGCTGCTTCCCTCTGCCACACTCTCCCACCATGATGTTCAGCTTCACCTCGAGCCCTGAGGAATGAAGCCAGCCTTCTATGGATTCAGACCTCTGAAACCGTGAGCCCTCAAATAAACTTCTCCTCCTTACAGTTATTCTGGTCAGATAGTTTAGTCACAGCAGTGAAAAAACTGACAAAGACACATAGCATCCAACCCTAGGGTTCTGAGCAAAGGCTATATCGTCTGCGTCAGAGAACTATTTACCATTTACAAAGCAGCTCCTGCATTCTGGCAGGCTTAGGAGAGCCAGCACACCTTTCCCTTCCTCTTATACCTTCCCACACAACCTACTCCATGCCCCTGGGACTTGGCTCGAGATACCATCTCCGCTTGAAATGTCCCCCTTCTCCAGCATTCCCCTGCTCTAAGAAATGGATAAATGACCATCTCCTTCATGAGGCATCTGCAATCTGGCCAGAGAAATTTCACCATCCAACTTATATTTTAAATATCTCTCAAACCAAACTTAGTCTCAATTCTCATTATCAGACAGCCAAGAATCCTCAAACATCCCTCGCCAAGGCCTTAGGGCCTAAGGGATTTCCTGCCCCCAGGTTGGGCCCACTTAGTGGCCGGAAGGCACTTTCTAAAGTGGAAATGGAATCACTTGCTTTTCATTCCGCTCCCAGACCTTGGGAGAAAGTTCACCTTCCTTCTCAGCTGCCAACAGCTTCAAGCCTCCTTGCCTGCTGCTGTCCAGCCCTCAGCTGATCTCTGCATATCCCTTAGTTCCCGGGTGGTCCTCGGGGATCTTCCCAAGCTCCTCTTACCCATGACCCTTTAAAATTCTTCTTTTCAGTGGAACCCCTTATGGGCACTAAAAGACTCAGGCTCTGCTCTCCTTATGCACTGTCATGTCCGTGCATCTGACATTGCACCCCAGTGCCTAGGGAAATTCCGGGACATGTCAATAAATATTTGTTCCATGAATCAGTGAATGAAATGAATCAGCACTGAGTATATGCTAAATAGACATTTACAGAAAGAAGGAAGTTGGAAGGAAGGAGAGAAGAGAGGAAAGAGGGAGATATGTCTCTACACCCTAATGTCTAAAGTAAGATGTGACGCTTCCATGTCTTACTTGAGTGAATGATTGAGTAATAAATGAATGAATGATTCAATGATGGTATGGCTGGAATATAGCATAATACCTAGAGAGCATGCAGTAAATATGGTTCCCTAGTCCCATGTGGGTTTCAGAATTCAGAACCTTTTAAATTTTAGATAGATAATACAGTACTTATGCAGTGTGTTATGTAACATGCAGGGGTGGAGGGCAACACCCCAACACCCACATTAGTATGCCCACATAGAAACATGAATAGTAAGATAAATACAGTGAATGAACATATTGGAACAGAAAGCCTTGGCCACAGATGAGTCTAGGTCAGGTTTAGCCTATAACCTGCCATTGAGTTATAAAAAGCCTTTGGATTTTTGGTGCCCTTTGGATTTGGAGAGTGTGGATAAGGGATTTGGGGCATATACTTAGTAAAGTTCTGTTGAATAAATGAGTGAATGAGGAATATCTATATGCCAATGTCTATGCTCTAAGAATGTTTGTGCAACATTGGGATGAAGTTCCCAAATGGATTTCTGGAGAGCCACCACCATCCCAGTTCACTTACCAAGAAGGATTGTATCAAGTTAAAGGCATGAGTCTTGTTGGAGCCTTTGAGGATGTCAGGAGTGTCCAACTGAGGAGAGAAGCAGAGTGTCTTCTGTGAGCCATTGGGTCTTCCAGAAGTAAATCAGTTTATTCAGGACCGGGACACCTGACTCTGATGGAGAGGGAAGAGCAGGAACCCTCTCACCCCCAGGAGCTATGTAGCAGTCTTGGTGAGATATATAATTAATAACTTCTTCTCCTCACATTTGACGGCCATTCCCTGTCTTACTCAGGGCCTTACGGGGCCCAAGTGGCCACTCTGTAGAAAAGTCCCTGTTACAAACTGAATTTATTTTATCCCTCCTCAAATTCATATGGTACCATTCCGCCAACACCTCAGTACTTGGCCATATTTGGAAATAGGACCTTTAAACAGGTGCTTGTGTTAAAATAAGGCTACAACAGTGGGACCTCATACAGTCTGACCAGGTTCTTATAAGAAGTGAAATTCAGACACACAGAGATACAGGAAATTGAACACATGAGACAAGACCACAGGAAGACAAAGTTAGAAAGCAGCCATCTACTAGCCAAAGAAAGCGACCTCAGAAGAAAGCAAAGCCACTGACACCTTGATCTTGGAACTATGAGATACATTTCTGTTGTCTAAACTACTGAGTCTATGGTTATTTTGTTACAGCAGCCTGAGATGACTAATACAAGCCACAACTTGGCTTTGACACCAAGTTCCAAGAGAAGTCAGAAAATCTCAAAGCTAATGGTTTGTTATTCTCCTTCTAAAGACCTGTATAGCCAGAGCCTCTGAGAAGCCACCAGTGGGAGGTAGTCAGCGTGGTGGTTGAGAACACGAGTGCTGTGGAGCCAGACAACCTGGATTTGAATCCCTCCCTTGCCATGTACCTGCTGTGAACCTGGGGACTGACTTAACTCTTCCTGCCTTAGATGCCTCATTTATAAAGATGGAGATAGCAAAGTCCCTGCAGGACAGAGCTGTGTTGAGTACTGAGTAAGCTGATATTTATAAAGCATTTTCGAGGATGTTTGTTATGTAGCAAGAGCTTTGTGTAATTGTTTGTTAAATGATCATTTCCTGGCAATAATACAGCTTAAAACATCAGGGGGTAGAAATACTGTTGACTGATCAAATGAATTTCCTTGGTACCTTTTCTGTTGAAAATCTTGGGGGAATGATTCACCAGGAAGATATTTGTTCAGTGTGTCATTCAACACATCCACAAACATATTTTATATACTAAAACTCCTCAGTGTACAGTAAGGAGCTGGGATTTGGTTTGGGAGGGTTACCTATGGTCTCCATCAGCCAGGAATGGGTTTAACTGCAAGTTTATATGGAATATTTATACCCATGTAGGCCCTTGAGCTCTGCAGATATGGGTACCAATTCCCATTCCATCACCAGAACAATTCCAATAGCCAGCATTTACTGAGCACTTACTACATGCCAGGCTATTTGATGTGTACCTGTGAGGTGAGTCCTAAAATTAGCCCTAGAGATGAGAGAACAAATGTTTAAAGAGGCTGAGCTACTCACCTAATGTCACAAAGCAGATAAGCAGAGAACTCGGCATTTAAAGACAGGGCCTACATGCATAAAAATGATGCACCACTGGGTTCTTACAGGACTCAGTTGGCTCTCAAGAGAGCAAAATGTAAAAGCAAGTCCACCTCATTTACTTGGCCCTTCTGCACGCAGCCAAAATTTCCCTTTCTACTTCTCTACCCTGTTGTAACAAAGCCAGGGAGACCAATGCAAAATACTAGCACCATACTGTTTGGACTTTTCATCCACTGAAATTATAAACTACATAATCGTCTCTCATTTATATTACCCAGCACCTGGTATTCTGTCATAGCAACCCAAACCGACCAAGAAGCCCTCTTTCAGACAGAGGGAAGATTTTCACCAGGTACATGGTGATGGGCTGTAGCCCTCATAACACTGTGTGACATCTATGGAAATGCCAGCCACTGCTGAGGTGGCTACAGGGAGGACAGCCAGGATTCTCACCATGGGCAGCAGGAAGCCACACTCGTGGTTATTGACTCCAATGATAGAAGGAATTGCTTTATATGTTTTGCGAATCAGTAGGTCTAGAGGGTCTTCAGGAAAGAATTTACCATCAACCACTCGAGTGAAATGTTTTGCTTTCTGCAATAAGAGAAGAAAAATCAGCATCTATTCATGTTCCCAAAATCTGCTGTCCCCAAACCCTAGCCACACTAAACGGATCCCGTCAAGGAGTGGTCAAAATGCATGAAAAGAAAAGGAAAAAATTGGCCCAGTCCAATGCACTAGTTTCCGATCAGCCCTGCCACTTACCTGGGCAGAAAGGCTGAACTTTTCTATTTTTTTTTTCTCATCTACTAAATAGAAATAACAATAGTATTTAAGACAAATAATGACTTCGTACAGGATTTCTCAAAGTGTGGTTCTTAGACCAGCGTTATTGATATCATCTGGGAATTTGTTAGAAATGCAAATTGGCAGGCCTCACTCTGGGCCTTTCACTTTGGAGGTGCAGCCCAGCAAACTTCTTGTGGCAAATCCTCCCAGTGATTCTGAGGCATAGCCAAATTCAGTGGGCAAAATGGGGAGGGATGGGAATAACCTGGACAGTAGGGATTGGTACAGCCAACTTCCTGAGACCTCAAAGCACTGTGCTGTGGACAGGGCAGATATTTCTTGGGTCTCAGAAAGCAACAGCTGACTGTGTTCATAGCTTTGTTTGTTTGTTTCTGTTTTGGGGAGTCAGGCAGAAAAGAACACATGAAAGAGCCCGATAGCATCAGGTCAAGGATGTATTACCCATTCGTGGGCTCTAGCATGCAGATATTCAACACATGCCAAATAATTAACATGTATTTGAATTTGACAGATGATCACCTTGATCTTTCAAGGACTAGCAAAGATTATCAAAATTGGAAGGGACATAAAACATCATCTAGTCCAGACTTTTCCATCCAGTGATGGAGAGTTTGCCAACAGTCAGTCAGACCTGGCTTGAATATTTGCAGAGCTAGGCATCTCCCTGCCCAGGAGCCTGGTCCTTTTACAGACAACTGAGGTTTTAGAAAGTTCTCAGTTATAGGAAACCAAAATGACTTGGTAATAGACTCCAGCTCTTGAGGTCGATTTTAGCCTCTAAAAGCACGTGGAACACGAGTGGTCCATCTTCCCAGGCAGACACCTTCAATGTCTTAATGATGACCCTTGTATTTTGCTGGACCTTTTCCAGGCTAAGCAGTACCCTTGTCCCATCAAGTTCTTTAAGTCACCTATACGTGTTCTATACCCCACATTGTTCTTTACAGTTATTACCACGAATTCCCACTTTTTTTTTCCAAGTCCCAAATCAAAATAAATAACAGAGGGGTAGGATTTTCCATCACTCCATTCAAAGCACAATCCTACCCTGAAACTCGCCCCTCCCTCATTACCTGGCTGAGATTCAGCAACTCCTCAGGGGATTTTGCCCTGAGGCACTTCAGTAGGGCCTGGGAGTCCGAGGCATTGGAGCCACAGGCTTCTGCAATGATCTGCATCTATTTCCAGAGAAGGAGCAGGTCAGAGTATGGCACTGAAAGCATCCACCAAAATGAAAGTTGGAAAGTGTCTTCTGACCAGCCTGCTGCCCTTCCCCAGCCCCACACATTTATTTGGAAAGTATCATTAAGTGTATATTTAGTCTCTGGCCTGCACTTCCTGTCCTCTTTAGCAAATACCAGAGATGGAGACTGGGATTTGACAGCCCATAGCCATGGACTGGAATCAAGGTTCCTGGTCCACAGAGAAGTCAGTCTTGTGAACTCAGCTGCACAGGCACTAGGTCCCAGATGGAGCCAGGAGCCCCAGGATTGATGCGTGATTTTGAAAGCTCCTTCGTCATCAGCTGAGGCACCATTCTAGATGAATGCTTGGCTTGTCAACTCTGCTCAAGCCCCAGCTACCCGCACAGCCTACAGCTTCTGGGCTTTTTCCTGTCTCTGCAGACCAGAGTCACTCCTTCTTCTTCTCCTTCTCCTCCTTCTCCTCCTTCTCCTCCTTCTCCTCCTCCTCCTCCTCCTCCTCCTCCTCCTCCTCCTCCTCCTCCTCCTCCTTCTTCTTCTTCTTCTTCTTTTTTTACTTTTTTCCATGTTTTGTATTTAAAATTTTGTGTTTGTTTCTATTTACTTTTATCCACTCACTCTTTCTTCAAGGCCCAAGTCCTTCCTCTTGAAATGTCTTTTCTGTCAGACCATTGCATCCCCCGCAAACCCCTTCTTCCCACAACCTCCTGTCACCCCAGGGATCCCCCCACTTCCTTGCCTAGCTCATTGCTAACCACCTTTTTGCCCTGTCATTGAATCCTCCATAATTGTAGAATTTGTCCTTGCTTATTCTTCTAGGAGTCATGGATACTCTGAGAATTCAAAGTAAGCTGCAAACACTTTCCCAGGGGAGAATGCACAAGCGTCTAGAGTCTTCATACTATTGAAGCATTCAAGGACCACCTCCCACACCTACCCACAGATACCAGGTTAAAAAAAAAAAAAAACCTGAAATAAAAATATCAGCCTTCTCAAGTTTTATATATCCTTTCCCCACTGATAAACCCACAGAGCCTTGGGAAAATAGTAGGTACTCAATCAATGTTTCATAAATGAATAAATATATGTGAAAACTGAAATTAACTGTGTCAAGAGTATTTTCACAATTTTGTGATTCCACATTTCTGTGTTTTGAGTTCACTGTTATTGGTTATGTGGTATTTAAGAAAAAATATCCTATATGTCAGGCACAGTGGTACACACCCATAGTCCCAGCTACTTGGGAGGCTGAAGACCAGAAATTGAGTCCAGGAGTTGAAGACCAGAAATATCCCATCTCAAAAAATATATAAAAATAAAAAGAGACATGCACCTCTAAGATGATTACTACTCGGGGACAGCTCTGTAGCCTGGTGTTTGATTAATGTGTGTTGAATGGACCAGTTCATCCAATCACCCCTTCGTTCATTCAGCAAACATTTTTGGTTGCTTAGTATATACCAAGCATTATGCCTGAGGCATGAAGGACAGAGAAACCTTGTTCTTCAGGTCCTTACTGTATAGTAGGAAGCTAAGACAAGATGACAGATAGCAAATATTGGGGACATATGCCCCACCTCACCCCCTTCAAAATCCCATGCCCAACACCAATGGTCAGTCACAGTGTTATTTCCCTTTGAGTTGGAAACAGCCTCAGAATCTTTCTTAACACAGTAGTCTACATTGCCATTCCCTATAGAGTAGGTATAGAATATGATCTGCATAGACTCACAAAATTGAATTATGTCCTCAGGGAGAGAATAGTGGACAAGATGTGAGACCTGTAATACACATACACACACACTCAGGTGCGACAGTGATATTGCATTCAGTATCTGGATCCCTTTGCTGCTAAGCCAGGTCTTCCATGGAGAAACAGGTCCCACTGAGGCCAGCACAAGGTCCTTGGGCATGGCCCATGAGGAAAACCAGGTGCACAATGAGAAGGTGGCTTAACATACACCAGATCTTAAGCTGGGGGCAGGAGGCGTTTACCATATACCTACATCCTCCTTCCTCTCCACATCCTGGGACTTCAGGTATGGGATGATGGCCACTCCACTCTCCATGATGGCTCTGTGGAATAAGCCATTGCTCATGGGGGACAGAATCTGGAGAGAGAACACAGGACATGCAGGGAAGATTATCCTGGGGATCCTCACCCATCCTGCACACCATCCATCCCTCCTGAAGGGCTCTAACCTCAGAGTGGGAGAAAGAGCCCTGGTGTCAGACTCAAGAATAGATGTGAAGCTTTGGGCAAGTTCTTTAACCTCTCTTGGGCTCTGGCTCCTCATAAACATTTCAGTCAAACATTCTAGTACATGAGTTCCAGCTCCTTCACTTCCCAGCTTAACTTTAGACAAGTTAAGAATATTTCCAAGTACTAGTTTACTCCACTGTTGAACTGGAGTTGAAATTGAGCCTATATCACAGAACTGTTGTGAGGAGGAGGGGAAATAGACAATTTAGAAGTCTTCATGCAGTGCCTGGTCCAATTTCACTCATGAAGGTGGTTGTTATCCTATAGGTAAAGTTAGGTTAATCTTGTCTGCATTAAAAGGCAACTTTGAAGATATAAAAATAACTTAAATATTGTCAAGGGCTGTACAGCAGAAGCTTTCTTAACCCATTGCCATGTAAACAATTTCTGTAACTAATTTATGCCAAGGAAATGCTGGCCACTCAGAGCCAATGGGCCTTCTTCTAGCACCTCTGTATGTTTCTGTTTGCTGAACATCAGGTGTGTTTGCTTCCAAACTTCTTTTGTCAATTGCACTTGTTATTCTAATTACATAATCAATGAGCTCTCATGGAAACCATTTGGCTACACAAGTAAAAAGAAGACATTATATCTGGGAAGAAAACCTTGAAAAAGATGAGTAACCAAAAAGTATCTCTGTCACCCTAGGTCTAGACAAGAGAAGAGTAAAATCGTTGGGAGGAAGTAAAAAACCTCCCGAATGTGCTGCTGCAAGACTACTTTGCCAACATCTTTAAACTTACATTCATTGTTAATAAATGAAAACTGCACACACCTATAATCCCAGAGATTCAGGAGACTGAGGCAGGAGGATTGCAAGTTTAATCAAGATCCTGTCTCAAAATTAAATTTTTAGAAGGGCTGGGGATTGTAGCTCAGTGGCAAAGGACTTGCCCAGCCTGTATGACATCCTGGGTTCAAAATCCAATATAAAAAAATAATAATAAAAAATCAAAGAAACTGCCACTGCAGGGCATGAACTCTGCAGGTGGCTCATGCAAGAGGAACTCTAGTGAGCAGACCATCTCTGAAAAGATCACACCCTAGCTAGGCATGGTGGTGCACACCCATAAGCCCAGCAACTTGAGAGGCTGAGGCAGGAGGTTCACCAGATCAAGGCCAGCCTCAGCAACTGAGTGAGACTCTATCTCAAAATAAAAAATAAAATGGGGCTAGTGATGTAGTTCCGTCGTAGAGTTCCCCTGTATTCAATCTCCAGTACTGCAACAACAACCAAAATCATAAATAATAATAACAGCACCCTGAATAAAATCATTGGTGAGGGATGTACATTTTTGTCTTTTCAATTAAAATAAAATGTTTATAGGCATCTTTTGTAATTTCATGCTTAGCTCTGTTTTTCTACTGAACAATGCTATGGTTTGGAATATGGATGGATATGGTGTTGGAAGCTTGGTCCCCAGGGTGGCAGTATCAGAAAACTGGTATCATATGGAAGCTTTCAGAGGTTTGGCCAGTGGGAGGTCACTGGCAGCCCTGCCCTTGGAAGGGATTAAGTCAGTTCTCACCAGAGGGTTGCTATAATGGAGCAAGCCTGACCCACCAAGCTCTCTTGGCTTCCCGGTTTTGAGATGTAAGACTTCCTCCTACATGCGCTTCCTCCATGATGTGATGCTGTCCACCACCCTTCCCAAAGGCCCAACCAAAGGGGCTGCCTGATCCTTCATTTTGAGCCTCTGAAACTGTGAGCCAAATAAACCTCTTACTTTATACAGTAGCCTGTCTCGGGTAGTTTGTCAAAGTGAAGGCACCAATTAAATTTAAGTCAGTCATTATCCTCGCTCTTGTAACCTCCTCCACCAAGGTTTACTCAAGTCACAAAGCAGAAAACTCACCAGGCCAGAAACACTTATGGCTCCAGCTGACTCTCCAAAGATGGTCACAGAGCCAGGATTCCCACCAAAGAACATGATGTTCTCCTGGATCCAGGACAGAGAAGCCACCTGGTCTTTGAAGGCCCAGTTCCCTGAGGCATGCTGGTCCTGTGTGCTGGGGGGCAAGAGGCAGAGTGAGAGTTTTTAGTCGGCCACTGGTTCTTGCAGCCCCAAGTTCTCAGAGAGCCTGTGGGAGAAGCTGGGGAAACCAGGGCTAGTTCTTATCCTTTGTTGGGATTTGGGTTTCTGTGAGAATCTGATGAAGACTATGCACCCCAGGAAAAAAGAAACATACAATGTTGAAACATGATTCCAGAGAATTCCTAGGTTCCCCTGAATCCCTGGAATCCAGAAGATTCCCCACTGCTGAGATGGATCTGTACCAATTGTTCAAGGTCTTCCTGGGCACAGAGATTCCAATGAATGACAAAGTTAGTAACAATAATGGCAATCACCACAGAAGCAGGGTATGTCTGACACTGTTCCATGGGGTTTGTGGCTAATTCTGGTCACAATCTGAGAGGCAGGTAGTTCTGCATCTTTTCCTCTTTGCCTCTCTGGGCCTTCTCTGCCCTGTTCCTAAAAGGCGGCCCTCTAGGATTTGCACAGGCCAGACTCAAGCTGTGTGCTATCAGTGGAAGGCTTTGACAGGTGCCTGAGGGTGCAGTGGAGAGATCTGAACGTTCTCCACACCACTCTGTTCCCTCCGCATCTGGGGGGTGCCTTGGGCAGTGGCCACATTTGTCCACAGCCAAAGCTCATGCTAATTTTCTTTAATGAAATGTGGGAGCCTGCCATCAGGATACCGATGGATACATAATCTCTCTCAAACCGACTAGGAAATTCAGGCACCGAGGTTAAATCCCCTTGCTAGAGAGAGCTAGAATGTTGGAGAGTTGGGATCTAATGAGTCTGGCCCCAGAGTCCATGCTCCTAACCACGCCCCATGCCGCTGCCCCTGCTGCCTGTTTCCCAGAATGAATGAACAACTCTGAGGGGATTGTTCTGAGGGTACAAGGGAATATGCCACAGAACCAAAAACATCCATGCAGTGCACACCGGAACCTGAGCAATCTCAGAATCACTTTTTTCTCCCCACTATTCTCTAGTCCCCTGAACCGATCCCCCCTTCGGTTCCTTTCTCTGCCCATGACCTCTGGGATGGTTCTTCCTACACCTGCCCACTCACAGATCTCTCCAAGCTCTGCAATTTTACCTCCATTCTTTGGTGGGCTCCACATTGGTCTCCATCCCTCCCTTTCTGTGTATCCTGAGAAGCATTTTACCTAATGGTTAAGACCTCAGCCTCTAGCACAGGAGTCAGAGCCTGGTCCCTCATTATCTGGGTGATCTTAGGCAAGTCACTTAACTGACTTAAGCTCAACATTCCCGCGTTAATAGAAGGGAGAGTAACAGTGCCCGCTCTCTATGGTTATTGAGAAGATTGCCAGTGACACAGGTGCACAGGGTCGTAAATGTATTTAGTGTGGTTTTCATGATTCAATCTTCTATGGAACTCTTTGCTAAGCAGACTCCCAAACTCTCTTCCCCAAATCCAACTCCATCTTTAAGGCACCCCTCTGCAGAAGCTCCCAGATCCCTGGAATCTCCTTCCTCATTTCCATACCCCTTTGCTCTCACTCTTGGACAATTACTCCTGTGCTGCAAGTGTGGATATGAGCATCCCTACATCACCTCCCCCACTTGCCTATGAGCATCTGGGGGTAGGATTCATATGTGAATCATTGCTGCCTTCTCCACAGTAGGTGACAGCCACCTCCAAACAGCACCATGGCCCCATCTCTCCCTACCTCTCTTTGCTCACATTGCATCCTGGATTTAGACTGCTATGTTTTAGGCAGGATAATACAGGTGATCAAGAGACCAGCCGTGTTCTATCACTTCTCTGTACCTTCATTTTTCAGCTGTCAAATGGCAATAACATCAGAACCTTCCTTGTACTTGCTGGGAGCCATTAGCCAAGTAGGTATGACAATTTCCTTGCCAGCGTACCCCATGTTGCTGACATGTTGCAGCGACATTGAATGTAGGTGACCTTGCTCAAGGACCAAGGCAGATTAGGGTGTTCCCGGTTTTAAGATAATCGTGTTTAGGGCGTTCCCAGTTTAGGTTCCAGGTTTAAGGTTTAAGATTATTCCTCCCGGGAATAGGGCGTATCCTGCTGCCTGAGTTCCCCTTGAGTTCTCACGGGATTCAGACAGTATATTTTGGAGATAGAAGCCCAGTGGAGGTGGATTTGGGCAGAGAATGTGGATTTGGGCAGAGAACGTGGATTTCCCCAGAACGTGATTGTAGACGGCTGGTGTGAGTTCGGGAATAAAGAGTTGCTGTTTGAATCTACAAGCTGTGTGGTGGCTCGTGATTGTGTGCCCAGCCAGACTGCGGCAGTACTATCATTTTAAGGGTGAGTTGAAATAACACAAGGCAGGTGCATGGTATCCTACCTGACTCACAGGGAGGGTCCAAATACATGGCAGGTATATACACAGGGAAAGAAGGCCAGTGCCATAGAGGAATTATTCTCAGGAGGGCCTTGAAGTGGGGTCCTATGGTAGACACTACTAACTGCTCACACAACTTGTCTGTCTTCCACATCACATGGCTGAGCTACATTCCACATCTCCCTGGCAGATGGATGTGGTCCCCAAAGGACTGAGTTCTGCCCAGTGGTATGTGAACAGAAGTGATGAGCGTCACCTTCAGGCTGACCCAGGAAAGCTGCCCTCACGCGATCCTCCATTCTCTGGCTCCATCTGCTGGAAAAGTGCAGATCTGGGCCCTGGAGAATCTATATCAGAGCCACAAGAAGGAAAGAACCCAGGTGGTCCCTGACTGCCCATGTGGAAGGATGTCTGTCAATCATGAATATTCACTTGGACTTTACTTGAGTTTTTTGATGTTTTAAGCTAAAAAGGCTTGGAGGTTTATCTGTTATAGCTGCTGAAATTACAATGAGGGCCAAATGTGTTCATTTCTCCTAGGTTTTTGGACACTGCTCATGGCTACTGCACAGCTGTCTCTTGAGGATCTGGAATGTCAGTCACCTGGGGAGACTCACCTGAAGAAGCCAAATATTCCCAGCCGGTACTGGGTGGTCACGATCAGCACATTCTCATAGGCAGCCAGGGCAGACCCATCAAAGATGGAGGCAGAGCCACTCTGGAAGCCACCGCCTGGAAACCACACCATGACCTAAGGAAGAGAGTGGCACACTCTGCTCAGCCACCAGGCACCCACATCCCCTCCCATGAAAGTTGGGATTTTTTTTTCCTCCGGGAATTATGAAGATCTCACTTTTCCTTCTAAGTAGGGTCTGACGTTTTATCTTGATGAGAAAAATTGGGCTCAGGGAGCATAAAACCTTATTCAGATGGTGTTATCACTATTTCTAGAAGTCTCCCTTCCGTTCTCTTCAGTTCATGTCCGAGACTGTAACTCATGGGCAGGAAAAGAGAAGAAAGCCATGGAGGGAAAGTACAGCCAGACAAAGCATGGACCTTGATGCCAGGACCCAGCCCTGCCATGTGTGTGTGCACCAGACTAAGTCACTTATTCACTTCCTGTGCCTCATCTTCCTCGACGTAAAATGGGTCCGATCGTCCTCATGCACTGGGTTATTGTAGGAGTGAAGTGACGTAAAGTGCCATCGGTACCTAGCACATAGGGAGCTCTCACTAGATGCTGCCCTTACTACACAGCAGAATGAGTCTCCCATTGCAGATCCATGGCTATGGGGAGGGGGGGATCGGTGCTAGGTATGAAGGGCGTGGCTAAGGGGTGAGTGTGGCTAAAAACATAACAGTGAACCTCCCACCCTACTCCCTTCTACAGGGATCTTTTACATTCTTAAATGATATACTTAACCTGACTGTCTTAATGGAAAACATAAGAGTTGGAAGATGTAATAATCCTCTGTTTAACAAAAAACAAAATCCTCTTGGGGGGGAGGAGAATTCTCAAATTAAAGAAAGAATGGTTTCAAGACATGTCTTTCCAGAAGGTTTATGGATCATTCAATACTCAATGGAGAGGAAAAAGAAATAGAAATCCAAGGCCAAGCCACTGGCAATCAGAAAAGATGACGAAGTGGATCTATCATTGCAATGCCTTTTCAAGACAGTGTGAGGCTAGGTTTGACTCCAGATGCCCCATCAACCTGCCTGGATCCCAGACCAAGGACCTGCCAGCAGGAGCCCCAGGTGTAGCAGGGAGCCTTACAGGGAGATTGGAGCCCCCATCAGCATGTGCTGGCGCGTAGATGTTAAGGTACAGGCAGTCTTCCGACACTCCAAATTTGGGATAATGCACCTTGAGAAAGTGTTGATGTGATAACAGCCACTCTGTGTTCTGGAAGCACCTTGGAGAAAGGGAGAGAAAAGCCCCCAGGTGTACTATCAGCAAACCCTGCCTAGGAGGGACCAGCAGGGAGGCCTGGCCATCTTCTCTGAGCAAGGGAGGCACCTGGGAGCTATTGGTACAAGGTCCAATGGTCCTCAACCCCCATAGTTTTCAAAGCAAACTATTATTCTCTTTGATCTGGTCTCTAGATAGGAAAGCACATTCCGCCAAGTGATTGTACCATTGACCGCACACACCCACCACTGTGATATGGACACACAGAAACACTCAAACTAGCTCAGCAAGTCCCCAGATTGTGGCAGGCAGGACAGTGGGTTGGCTATCAAAGGCTTTGCTCCACAGCTGCTTCTTAATTCCCCAGAGGAGCAAAGGGATATTTCCAGATCCCCCCTACCAGGAACCAGCTGAGGTAGATTTGCAGGAGGACCCCAGCACCCAGGCTCTGTTCAAGCTCCCTCTGCCTGCATATATCTGCCAGCTTACATTCTTCCCTTCCTTTCAGATTCAGGCCAAGGACCACCTCCTCTGAGAAGCTTTCTGAGATTTCTCCAGTTTGACCATAACTTTTCTTTGGAAACATTCACATTCTATGTGTTCTGTCCTAGAACTTGTCCTAGGGTTGTCCATGAACATTATCATCTTTCCCAACTCAACTATGAGCAGCTAAAACCCAGGACTCTGCATTAGTCACCTCTGTACAGATTGAGTGGGATTGCAAGTGTGACTATTTCTACCATACTAAGTGCTCAATTAATATTAGCTGTTTTCTTAATAGAATACTCCACTGTGTGGGTGACGGGAAGCCATCACTGCAGACTACCCCTGGTAGGTGTCTTTTCCTTTTTGTATGTTGCTTATCACAAATTCAGGCCTCACAGTTTTCAACAAAGCTGTCTCCTAGCTTTCCTCAAAGTTTAGCTGGGTTTTCCATGCTCCCTCCACACCCTTCTCTAATCCCTGTAGTGGCTTTGTCACCTTTTCTTTCATCTCCCCACAAAATGTTATTTATATCTCTCCATGACCACCCTTCTTGAGGGAAACTAACAGTAGTCCCATACTCACGATTTTTCTGCTTTACAATGGTGCAAAAGTAATATGCATTCAATAGAAATCGTACTTCAGAGCCGGGCACAGTGGCCAGCAGCTCGGGAGGCTGAGGCAGGAGGATCAGGAGTTCAAAGCCAACCTCAGCAATTTAGCAAGGCTCTAAGCAACTCAGTGAGACCCTGTCTCTAAATAAAATACAAAATAGGGGTGGAGATGTGGCTCAGCCCCTCTGGTACCAATAAATAAATAAATAATACTTCAGATTGATCGTTTCCTGAGTTAGATATATGCAGTTCAGCCATGGCAGTGAGCCTTAGCTCCCAGTCAGCCATATAATCACAGTGGAAACAAACCATACTCCTCAGTGTTCTATGTGGCTGAGCTATGATGTCCTGTAGGTTAGATGTTCTCAATGTACCTTTTACTTACGTGGGCTTCCCAGAACATAACCCGCCATCAGTTGAGGAACATCTATAATTCTCTGTTGGCATCCCCAGGGCAATGGAGAGCCAATTACTGAGTTGGTCCTCAATGGATATTAAATCAATGAACCAATGAACAGATGACTTCTGTCTTAATGTTCTCAGTCCCTGGGCCACATGAGGTCATCTTCTGTGGCTTAGGAAGCATCCAGCTCCAACGTATTCCTTTGGCCTGTGACCTTAATGCCAGGAACTAATGTGGTCCAACCTAGAACTTCACAAAATCTGAAGAATCAGAAGATTCTTAGGGATTTTAAAGTCTGACTCCCCACCCAGAAGTTTCACCTCCTCCACCATTAACCTGGTAACGATTATCCACACAAGTTCAAACCCTGCAGCGACTGGGAGCTCCTCACCTTCCAGGCCCTTATGTCAGTGCCATTTATGTGATCGTGATCATCCCACAGGTATCTATGGGCCAGGCATTACATTGGGAACAGTTTTAAATATGTGAGCTAAAATCCCTCTCGTGTAGTTCTTCCCTGACTCCAGAGACGAGGTGAGGTCATTTGGAAACACGTGGGCAGTTTCCTTCTGACCAAAAGACTCAAGGAGCCCACTGTAGCACTTCTAAATTCTGGTTGGTACTCAGAATGCCTAGAGAGCTTTCAGATAGCACATATTTGGGGGTCCAGTTCAGGATGTTCTGACTCAGGAAGTTGGGAAGGGAGACTCAGGATTACATACATTTTTAACAATGCCTCCACTGTTCTGGTGATCACCCAGTTTGGAAGCTCCGAGATTGCTGAAGCAAAGGTTCAGGTCTGTGGCCCTCTTTTCCTCCTTCTCATCTTCCTAATCCTCAATGTTCTCCCTTCTTGTCCCCTGGGTTACATGACCTTCATTGCCCTGTCAGTGATCTGCCCCCAAATCCCAGAATCACAGGCCACCTATAGAACTAAGCCTAGTCTTACAATTGAGGGTAGGAGGTGGCATTACGCAAGCCATCCCAGGGACTTGCAGGTTGAGGGTCCATAAATCGCAGGGGTCCCACAGGGGGTGCAGCATAAGGGATCCCAAGGAACACGTTCACAAGCATTTGGCTTCCCAGAACAGAGACTTGCTTCCCCTTGACCCATCCCAGGCTGGTGATCCTCTCTGGCATTTCAGCCATGGCCCCTGAGAAACAGATGGAAAGAATGAGGGGTTAGGTGGGAAGAGTCAGGGAATCGGTCGAAGCCAGGGTCCCCTCGGGAATGCTCCTTCTCCACCCAGAGGCCTACAACAGGAGTAGCTGGATGCCCTCTCCAAGAATCCGCATCCTTCTCTTTCTTCCCACCAGAGCACTGACTCAGTTTCCCCTGGAAGCCCATCAATAAGCCACAAAATTTGGGAGGGGTCTCCCTTCTGCACCAAGGCTTTTACTTTCTGTGGGACTGACACCAGCTGGGCTTTGTAGATGCCAGGACCCAGCCAAATCATCTGCCCAAGGTGCCCCGCCCCTTCATCATCTCTGCACCCAGGGCATTGTGGCTGGCATGTCTATGTATCACCTGTACAGCTACGGCTGCTTATTTTTCTGAAAATTAAAAACTCCTTTTAAAGTTTAACCTAGAGGAATCCTAGGTGATAACATCTATAGGATTGTGGTTTTGATGAGTTAGGTGGATGCTGTAGATACGTGTTGAAAATAAATATTTGCTAATGAATAAGAAATACCTCATATGGATGCCCCCTGAAATCAACTCATCCAGTTCTAGATGCTTGAACAGGGCACCTCGGGACTCTGGGTGTGCAAGTGTCTCATTTTCTGCAAGAATTGTGGAGCCGTGGGAAGGAAACTGCCCAGGACTTAGTGAGCAGGACCCGAGTGTCTTGACTCTACTTGTTATGATGTTATCACATTCATGAAAGTCCCATCTTCACAGTCAAGACTCCAGAAGCACAGGTCCCGTACCACATCCCTCCCCAGTTCTCAGAATGATGTGTCTCCTTTCAGAGTGTGAACAACCCAAGGCAGGACCAGGGTCTTTCACACTCTACCTGCCCCTAGGATGGAGGCTTCCAGCCTTTCAGCAACACCAGGACTTTGGGGCCCAGAGGGCTTACTTACATGGGCCCTCAGAGACTCCTGAGAAATCATTTCATTTCTACAATGGAAAACCATCCCTCTCTCCCATCTTCTCCGAGCCTTCCTCTCCCACTGAACATCTCACCCCTGACGATGGTTGCAAGGATCCAAATGGCCCAAATTAGGGCTTGTCCTGGATATACCCAATCACCAATCATCTGGCTGGCCTGCATGAACTCCGCTGCTGGCCTTGGAGAGCTTCAGATTGGACAAGAAAGGGCTTCTTGATAGTAAGCAGATGTTGAGCAGACAAACAGAGGACACAGAATACATAAAGAATAGTAGCAGAGCAAGATCTCCAAAGGATTTTCACCAAGCAAGACTTTCCTGTTCTGATTTACATAAGAATCAGTTGATGATTAACTCTTGTACTGGGGAAGAGCATTTGGTAGGCTTTAGACTTTTAGGATCTGGTAAATCAGGGACCTCAAACTTGGCTACTTCCAGGGGCCAGGAAGGCAGAAAAACAGTGAATGAATGAAGCTTGCTAGGGAAGAACAATTGGGAATGGTGGGGACTGTGAAAAACTTGATAATATATACTTTGTCTAAAGGGGCAGTGACTTCTCAGCTTCAGTAAACATTTGTCTTGTGACAGTGTAGGTGGGTCAAACGAGAATTCAGTGACATCTCTTGGTTTTTAAATGTAGCTTCAATTTCAAAACAAAAAAATCACAATGTGAGCTCAACGTAGCATTTCAAGTGGCTTGCATTGTGTCTTGGGTCAGCCCTCTGCAATTCGAATCAAACCCAGGTTTCCCAGTTTGAATACAGGGATTAGGCCCAGAGAAGTGAACAGGCTCAGAGCCAGGATCTGTACTCAGCATTCTGGGTACTCATCACGATGTTCTTTCCAATATAAGTTCATGCTCTCGGAAGGATTTGATGGGTGATAGAGAGTCCAGGGAAGGACCCAGAAGCATTACCACTCTACCCCCAGCAGCCCAACAGGCTCCCTGCCTCACAACAGGGCTTTCAAATGCTTGGAGGCTGGACTGGCAGATCCTAATTATCAGGAACACTTGTTGAAAATGGACTCATATGCCCTACCCCCTGGAGATTTGGGGACAGGGTCCTGGAATATAACAAAGGCAATAATAAGATTGGGAAGCATCAATAAAATAAAGGGACTATCTCTCAAAAGAATCATCTCATGAGATTTTATATGGGGAGCCACAGCAGGCGTTATGTGCCTACTGGATATAGAAGTCTGTGCGTCTAGCAGGGAAGACCTTCCGCAAGGTCAGAAACAAGAGGCTACGAATGCACTTTCTTAAGGCAGATGCTTCACAAACTTTTGTCCTCCGGTAAATAATCCTCCTTTCCCCAATTCCGTCTCTGGTCTTCATACACTGCTGAAAGTTCCACAAATAATGGAAAGAGGACTTCAGAGGAATCTTATCTTACAGGAGAGTTTGATTCTGAATTTGGCAAAAAATTACTTATGGTTTTTTTTTATTATTGGTTGTTCAAAACATTATAAAGCTCTTGACATATCATATTTCATACATTAGATTCAAGTTGGTTATGAACTCCCAATTTTACCCCAAATACAGATTGCAGAATCACATCGGTTACACATCCACATTTTTACATAATGCCCTATTAGTAACTGTTGTATTCTGCTACCTTTCCTATACCTTGAAAATCTCTCAAATTTCCCCTGAAACATAGTGACCAACCGTGATGACAGACCCTATGAAGGATGTATGCGCTAGATCTAAAGAAAGGGATTGTTTATATTAACTGTCTGGATGTTCAAACCATCCACCTTTGAGGTAACTGTGGATCTCTGGGGGTGACCGGATGATGTGTGGTAATTTCTAAAATGTTTCCAGTTTACTTGGAGGGCTTCCTTGTTTAGATTCAGCACTGAGCATACAAATATTTTACTGCATATTTAAAGACATGTTCGCCATTGAGAGGATCAAAGACAAATAGAGTTTTTTAAAAATATTTTATTTTTTAACATGTATTAATTGCAAATAATGGGATTCGGTGTGATATTTTAACACATGCATACAGTGCAATGATCAAATCCAGCCTCCTTCATAACATTTTAGACATCAAAGCACTCAGCTCATTTCCTGATCAGAGGTGGTTAATAATATTTGCTAGACTGGAGCCTAAATCTAGCCTACTAAAACCCACCTACATCCTGGCTTTTAAAAAGCTATAAAGAAGAATATGATTCCTTCCACCTAGGAATGTTCCATTTAAGAATGTTTCATCTGAATGTCCATCTCAGCTTTGGCCATGGATCCTGGTGGTTCCCAAAGCTTTGTCATTGACCTATCTTCACAATTTATGTCATTTTCCCTACCAACTTGACTATCCATTTGGGTTTTTTAAAAATTTGACATTTTAAGAAACTATTATCAAGGAAGACTTTATATACCTAATGCAATGAGGATAGTGTTTTGAAGAGAAGAGAAATATGTTCTACATTTCTATACCACAAAGTCATTCCCCATTCCCTGGCAACCATTATGGTGAATTGATAGGGCATATATATATAGAGAGAGAGGATCCCCAAAACAGACAAGACAAAGTTGAAAATCTGCTTCTTCTATACTATGGATCTTAGAAAGGAGAAGGTAACTGATTTGGTTTACATATGAGATGTCCCCAAAAGCTCATGTGTGAGACAGTACAAGAAAGTTTAGAGGTAAAGGGATTGGACTATGAAAGCTTTTAACATAATCAGTATGTCAATCCACTGATTGGGATTAACTGGGTGGTAACTAGAGTCAGGTAGGGTGTAAATAGAAGAAGTGGGTCATTGAGGGTGCGCCTTCAAAACTTGTATTTTACCCTTGGTGAGCAGAGCCATCTCTCTGCTTCCTGGTAGTCTGTCCTGAGCTAATTTCCTCCACCATATTCTTCCACCATGATGCTCTGCCTCACCTCAGGTATAGAGCAATGGAGTTATATAGAGGACAATGAAGCCTTGATTACCCAGGAGGAGGTGGCACCAAGGTGCTGACCTTGGGGTCATCTCTTGGGGTCATCTCTGAGCTGACCTGGGGCAGCCACAGCAAGGTAGAAGTAGTTGGAGAAAGATCTGAGAGGATGTTCCCACCTCCCTTGGGTCCCCTATTTTTCAGAAGGGAAGCAGACATCACCACATGGCCTTGAAAGGAACTTGGAAGTGATTGCAGATCTGGTGGGAGCTGGATGATGAGGAGGGAATATGGAGTACAGGCTCCAGGAGGGTATATGCTTCCTAGGCTTGAGAAGAGAGTGGAACCACAGCATGACCTGGGGTGGATCATTGTGCTGAGAGCTAATCAGGGTACCGAGGGCCAGTGGGCTTTGATCAAGACAAGAAGACAGACCAGGATCCCATCTTTCTAGAATTTGTCATGTTTTCAGGAACACCAGGCTAGAGGAAAACTTGCTATGGAGACCACAACAATAGAAGAACCTCTGCAAGAAGTGAGTACAGGTGCCCTCTGTTCTTCTACTCATGTGGACACATAAACTACCCCCAACTTGGGTAGCCAGATGCCATCTTGGAAAGAAAAGTTGGTGGAGGAGGAAGCAAATCTGAGAGGCTGTGGGTTTATTTGAAAGAGACTGTGCTTCCTTAGTGGGCAGTTTAAATTACTGAATAGGACTGAGTTTACTGGATTGAATTAGATGTAATTATTTACCATTAATCAGAGGGGTGAGGTGTTTTCTTTTTGTCAAATTAACCAGCATTAGACATATATAAAAGAGATACTATCACCAAACTGAGTTTATCTCTTCTACAAAATTGGAATGGAAAGAGGACTATGGAGGAAATGGCTTCCTAGTTATATATCTTGAATTGCTATTCTGGTTAGTTATCACCTCTGATTATCTCAGATGTCCCTTAATATATAGGGTTTATATTCTGGGAAACATGGATGTATCAGGAAACAAAGGCACTAGCTATCATCTGTGGAATGCCTTATAGGTATCAGACATCAGGCTAAATGCTTTGTATCTGTTGCCTAATTTAATGCAATTAAATATCACAGGGCTAAGAAGAATCATACCTAAGGCTTGAGCCCAGTGTTTCTGCCCTTAAGTTGCAGGATTTGCAATTTGAGGAGAGAGAGTAGGAAATGAAGGGCAATAGGGAAATCAGGGAGGATGGACTGGCTTCTTCTGACCCTGGCTGTGAAAAATCACCCCATCTTTCAGGAAACTAACATCTCCTCCTAGGATCTTCATGTCCCCATCAGTAGCACAGATCAGTGGACTGGAGAGTCACTGAGAAACACAGATCTTTGATCAACTCTTCCTGTTCTCTAAGATGGCTCTTTGTCCGTTGTTTCTTATTAGTGATGCACAACGTTAGGATTCATTTTGACGTAATTATAAAAGCATGGAATATAATTCGCTCTGATTCAGCCCCCAGGACTTCCTCTTTCACTCCTCTCCTTCCTCCCCCTGTTTCCTTCCCCCTTTGAAGCCCTGGCAGAGAAAACCGAGATAAGAGCTATCTTACTCTAAGGTCTGGTTTGAAACCTACACAAATATACCCCTGCTGATAAGCACAGGAGATCAAAGTGGACTTCTGGATTCTCCTAAGGGGAGGCTCAAGGAAACTTGAAGGCTCAGGGAATGGCAGCTGCCTCACGGAAAAACCAGGCTGGAGGTGGACAGGACAACAGAAGGGTGATGGAAACTGGTCACCTGGAAATGCCCTTCACCCCATGTGGACCCAGAGCTATGAATCTTAGAGCTTCCTTCTTGTCATCTGTTTCTTCAAAGCCATCTCACATTTATGTTGAACTCAAACACTGTAACTTGATTTTTTTTTGGTAAAAATTATTGGTGCGTCATAATTAAAAGTGACAGTGGGATGCGTTACACCACCTTCCCACAGTCCCATGATACAATTTGGTCAGTGTCCTTCCCCAGCACCTTCCCTTCCATCTTTTCTCCTCTGGCTCCATCCTACCATTCCAAACCATCACCTCTCTGCACTCCCATCATTGAAACCCCATGTTGCACCCCTCGCTCTCTCCCACCCTGGCACCATCACTCTCCCAATACTGCACCCACCTCTGCATCCAGGGTTTGTTAATTTTCCTCTCTGATAACATTTGGCTTTGATTATTCATCTGATGAAATCTACTTATCTTTCAAGATCCCACAGAATATCATTTCTTCCATGTGGACCT